AACGATGTGGCGTCTGTTTGAACCTAGGCGAAAAACCGTCACTTCAATCAAGCAAAGGGATGCGACTGCTGCCGCAGGAGCAGCAGCGCGCATGTTTTGTGGGTGCCCGCTGTTTATTGCGATGTTCAGCTTAGTTCGAAATCAACGCTCGTTTCCAGATAGGCGACTAGAGTGGTTGGCTACGCAGGCAATTTGATCAGCTATCATGATCTTGTGTATTTTTCGTGATTGACGTTTAGTAACGGGAATGTGAAGTCGCGCATTTCGCTCGCTCGATGGCTAGACTCGGTTAGTACTATAGAGCGAGCGAAGGCGCGGTTTTGAGGCGCAGCACAATTTCCAAAATTACGAAAATTGGCTCATTTTATGAACTTCTATTGAATAGTCACGAATGTTCGTTCATCGTTGTTACATCATGTTGCGTTTTTAAACAGATAGAATTTGAAAAGAATCCGAGTCGCTTACTTGATTTTGCTAGAACGAGCGTGAGCAAATGATGAAGGGGCCCTAACGTAGTGTAATATGTGACTGGCATATACGGTTGAATCCTGAAATATATGCATTAAGCCACGTTTTTATGTTGGACGGCAAATCTTTTATATATTTATACAATAATATATAAATTTTAAATATTAGTCTATTACATTGTAATAAATTAATTGAAGCCGCTAAGATGTTGCAAAGAAAGTAGACGTGTGTTGCTAAGGACTGTCCCAATGTACGACCCCTTAGCGTATTTCTACGCTAGAGGACGCGGCGGTCGGGCAGACGCTTTAGCCCTGACATTGCAGAAGAAAACGTATAAAAACAAGTAATAGTAAAAATAACAACAATAGTATAGGTTGTAAAAAGAATTTGAATATAGCATCAAAAATGTTTTTCTATTAGAAATGTGCAGCGTGGCCCGCATATCTCTCATCTAGAAAATAGTAGCGGCTTACATTGATAAGGAAACTAACTATATAATCATCGCCAACGTTATACATGCCTAAATTTGATTGTATCCTAGCTGATCAGAGTAAGCCTATTTGCTAGCCTGTAATGTACCTTCTTCCTCTTCGCTACTACTATATTTTTATTGCACTTACTTCTTTCTCGTGCCGTGCATCAGTATTGTGATCGTCGTTCATTAATCAATTACATCAGTAATTTTTATTAATTTACAATCAGTAATTTATATCATCAACTGGCAATAAAAAGCGATGACTTTTATTAAAATAAATTACTGATGTTCTTTTTCTATAATAACTTCTGCTGTTTACTATTACTAATTATATGAGTGTCATATCGTAAGAGTATAATATGATAAAGTTTGGGCCATATACTAGTTGCTACACAATGCTTGCCAATCACAATGTTTGAAATCGGTCTATGGTCGGTAAATTTAAATAAATATGGTAAAAGTAGTTTAGACAAGTAAATATGCATACACTATGTAAGGTTCTGGCAGACACGCTCCATCACATCAAACATTGACAACGAAGGCCACGCAAGGCAACGCATTGAAGAATAGTCATAGATAGATATTAATTTGTGAATAAACTCATTAAAACCCCAGGCAGTATAGGCATTGTATTTCTCGATCGACCAATCACAGAGCGCCTGTGTCCAAACCAATGTCACCGACTCTGTTAAAAATAGCCCATCACGATTCAGGCTAATTATTTGTTGTTCCATAATTATTTGAGTAGGGGCACGATGCAGCGAGCAAGAAAGGCAGAGAGACAGAGCAATAGAGAGGGAGAGAGAGAAAAAGAGGGGAAAGAGATAGAGAGAGACGTATATATATATATATATATATATATATATATATGATAGAAAAGGCGAGTGCATGCTTATATAGCGCATATACGCTAATTGAATAAGGAGCGTCTTGTGGGCGAGCGTTATTATGGTAAAGCGCGCGCGATCACTTGCCATCGGGCGCTCTTCTTTCTTAATCGGATGGAGCGGAAAGTGAGGTCACGACTTAGACACGAGAGCGGCTTTTACTCTGTGTGTGTGTGCGAGAACAGGGGAGAGAGAAACCAAAGCAGAGAAGGGGAGAGATGGCGAAAGATAGATAGAGGGAGAGAGAGTGAGCGAGAGAGAGAGGGGTGGAGGAGAAAGAGAGAGAGAGAGAGAGATGGGGAAGGCAAAGCGGTTGCCTGAGCGGGGACTTTCATCTATTGCGGCTGGGACGTGACCTGCTTTCTCCGGACGCTGATTGAAAACGCACATAAACCTCCCCCGCCGCCAAACAGAATCAGCGCCGTTTTGTTTTCGAAATGATCTAATTGCTGATTTCATTACGCACGCCGGTTTACTGCGTTTCAATTACCGCTGAGTGGCTTATTCGTTGGACAAATGACCGGCGCATTGTGACTGGGATTAGAATGCGAACGGGCGGACGCAGCCATATATATATATATATATATATATGTGTGTGTGTGTGTGTGTGTGTGTGTGTGTGTGTGTGTGTGTGTGTGTGTGTGTGTTGTGTGGTTGTGGTGTATCGCATGTGTAGACACGCACGCACACATGCAATATAGTATATACGTATCACTGACCTGCTAACAGTGGGCGATTGTAATTCATGGTCGATGGATGGATGGATGGATGGATGGATGGTAATGGATGTGGGGGGAGGTAGATACGTGCGCGAACGTCGCCATCGAGGTATCGCTTGCCAATTATCCAATCATAGTTATAGAACAGTAACTAAGCAACCGCAATGATTGGCTGTCGTGGATTTTTATCTTGCTATCAGCAGTGAGCCCTGGTCACGCGTCCTTCGCATATAGGTTCGATAGTTCGACCACTGATCACTATACTAATCTGTACGACCCCTTAGCGTATTTCTACGCTAGAGGACGCGGCGGTCCGCAGACGCTTTAGCCCTGACATTGCAGAATGAAA